TTGCAAATGAGTGTATATTCGCTAATTTCGTGCGATTTGGTTTCAAGTAGAACAAAAGGTTTACGGAAACCCGGGGACTGCGCCTACCTGATGAGCCCCAAGAAGGGCGAAACCGGTTGTGGGCTGTCGATGGATTTTCAGCAACCATATGAGTAGTACGTTACAAAGATATTCATTCAATATTGTTTCTTGTGTACAGCGTCCTTCCGCACATCAACATGCAGAGTGTTCGGTCAACCATACTGCATCATTTCCCTGCAGTTGGACGCAAACATGTTAGTTATTAATCTATGCATCTGATATTTCTGCTCGAATGAGAGCCGCTGTCCTTCCCGGTTGTTATGACAACACACTCACTCATCAAGGGAGCGAACTAATTGTCAGATAACCAGTTCACGCACGGAACGGATCCCCCTACATAATTGTTCCACTCATGACGATGATTAATGAGTAAAAAAAGCGACCCGAAAGAATGAAGTACAAAAGGAGAATGTGTTTTCGTACGCTTTGTGCTCATCGATGGGTTGTACTTGTGCGCATTCGATTTGCTCGATCAAGCGGACGCTGATGGATGTTTGTCAGTTAGGAGGATTAGCTTGTTATTTATTTGAAAAAAATAATAACTGGCTTTTGTTGCCATAATTGACTGAATGAAAAGAACAAAACTCCTATTTTTGCTGGCAAAACGTTGGGATACGGGCAAAGTTGAATCTTTCGAAATAAAAATGCTAGACCACAGAGATGCTTTGAGTTAATGGGCTAGATGAATGCTGCTGATTGGGGAGGTGATCTGAGAGACCCTGGACTGTTGCTGGTAAGCTTTTCTCCAGTTTCTTTCCAGGTCATTAATTCGTCCACTTTCACCCTTCAGCACGGTGACGCTCTGGGTCCAAAGCAGGTGTGGATCTCAGTAGAACACGAGGTACACAATCATACCGACGACATCCACAGCATTGGAGTGGCCCTGTGAACATCTCTTTAGCGGTTAACTGCGTTGGTGTTGCATGAGGCGTGCGTGAGGCGTGCATCACAGGTATTGGTTCCAGGTGGATGGGACTTTCGAAACAACGGTACGCACATGGTTCGTACTAGATTGACACTTTGTGAAAACGCGGCACCAATGATCAAAGATGATCCTGATGTTTGGCAAAACTGTCCGCTCAAGAATGTGTGCCGGCGGTGTTCTGACCTATGCCTTAAGTGATAACAGGTTTCCATACTTTGAGACTCAAGATAGAGGTAGCAAGTGAGGAACTCACTCTGTTGTAAAGACGAGTGGTTGCAGCCTCATCAAAATGACGACGGTCGTCGGTCTGACTCACATATACATCATCATCATCATCAGTTGCAAAAAGTGCGTACTTGCTGTGCAGCGGTTCTAGCTGCCAAACATTTCGTTCACCGTGGCGGTAGTTGATATAACTGGTGAGTGACTACAGGTTCTGTCAGTGGACTTTTCAATCGGGAGATTGGGGAGCGCGTGAGGTATGCATTGGAGGCAACAGGTGGGATGCATGAACGCCATTCTGTGTACGACTGGTACATGACTGACAGTGCCTCCTAGCGTTAATGTACCCCGTCTTGGGGTCATCACTCATGAAGATCAGCACAGCTGAGTGTGATCCTAATGGTTTGCTACCAAGTCATTGTTAGACCGACCCTGGTGTCGTTATACGAAAGGTGCCTTTTGAGGTAGCTAGTCGACTGGCATACAAAGCACGTGACCAACCAGAGCAACGTATGGCCGACCTTTCGACCATAAGCGAGTTAGCTCTTCTGAAAATCAGTCGCCCTGCTTCACCACTACTGCAGCAGGCTTGAGCAATGCTCAGAAAACATCGATGGTTAAACACTGAGAGTCTTTTGACGTTCTTGGCGCGCAGCGGCCAGGTTTCTAACACGTATAGTAATATGGAGCTCACCGCAGAAACTCAACCCTTGACGGATAACGTGGTGCCGTGCCTAAGATTCTGCATTACGGTCTCTAAGACGAACTACGTGGTCTGCGTAGTGGATATCTGCGAGCGAATGCCCTGGGAGGATGTCAAATTCACAAACACCAAATGCTTGGCAGTGAGTGTTCCATGATCAAGCGAGGGCCTCCAGTTTTCACAAGCCCGCGGGAGCTTGGCTCACATAGAATATCCAGTCTCTAGTCACGCAGTATCGAATTTCAGACGGCTCAATAGTTAAGGCGCGACTGACTGGATGGTCCATGGTCCCGACCCAACCTCAGTCTCCTTACCGCACCTTTCTAGGCTTCGAGAACTTGACATTATCCCAGTCCTCATGCTTCGTTCGCGTGGCTTGGCAGCTGGACACCGAAATATTGCTACAGCTGACCGACAAATTATGCAGTATTCTCAGAAGCAGATAGCGAACACAATGAGAGCGGTAACTCGGAATTATTGCTAGCCACATCCCGCATAATTTACTGCTATCCAAAACAGCACTGTTTTGTGGCATTCAGCAATCTGAAAATAGGAGGGGGTCAAAGTTGGCTGTTTTAGTCCGATGGATTTAATTTGGTGATAACTCGGTTTTGTGGTTCGTTTAAACCAAAGGCAATTAGACAACAGGAGTAGAGTAACGTTGGGCTTACAAGTCATTTTTGGTTGAAGTACAAGTGTAGCTGCAGAGACCGTTTTAAAAATTTCGGTCACACTTCCGCGAGCTATTAACCAGACGTCTCTGCAAACATGGTTTCCAGTCAATTCCAAACTTTTCCCACTGGTTTGAGCATCCACACGGCTTTTAGGTGGACCAGTTTTGATTCGTCTAGGTACGTGATAGTGCATTTGTTGAGGCTACACGTGGGCTCATCACAGTTGAAAGATTTTGCCGTGAAATCATCGTAAGTCTGCGACCGCGTGAAACGTGTGGTCATTTATCGAGATCTTCACTAAACCCGTTTGAGGCATCGGTTGTCGCGGCAGTGGCGGAAATTCAGTAGGTTGGGTGCTAGTTGTTGATCGGTTCGTCGAGTTTGGCAGCTGGCTTGTGAACGTTTCGTCACTACACGAGCGAACATCAGTGCTACGCGGTGGTGAACGGCCACCGGAACAACAAACTCTACTTTTCGAGAAATACACTCATTTGCATAGGTTGGGTGTTGTTGATCGGTTCGTCGAGTTTGGTAGCTGGCTTGTAAAAGTTTCGTCACTACACGAGCGAACATCAGTGCTACGCGGGCGGTAACGGCCACCGGAACAACAAACTCTACTTTTCGAGAAATACACTCATTTGCAAATCAATTTGGCTTTCACGAGAGACTCAACTGAATCTCTCGTTTATGATGTCATCCAACTGAATGTGCTGCACACAGGCCGCCTCATGATGGCACGATATTCGAGATATCATAAAGGAAACTACTTACAAGTTTGCTGAAAACTCTTCGACAGCTGTCGTTTTCTGATAAACAATGCGAGTCGTGATGCATAACGGATTCTAAAAGTGCAAAACACATGTGAGGCCAACAGCTAATGGGCACTACAGTTGATCTTCAATGAATCGGCCCTGCGATAAGGCGTAGTGTCCATTGAAATAGCAACAGCACACCTATTCCGAATTGTGTTTGGGCGGTGAAACATTGAGAAATGAAATCGTTCTTAGCCAGAAATTCATTTACGTTGATAAATGAGGGTGGCTTTAACCGGTGTCGTAACTACTGGAATAAAATTGTATCCGAACAAGTAGAACATGAAGTTGGTGGATACTTGGGGACTGCGTCTACCTGATGAGCCCCAAGAAATCGGGCGAAACTGGTCGTTGGCTGTCCAAGAAGTTTCAGCAACCTTTTGAGTAGTGCATTACGCACAAACCTCAAAGTCTTTTTTCGCTAGTCACTCAGGCTACGTGGTTATCAACTCTTTATACAATAGTATCTTTGGTAAGCTGCGACATATCTTCACTTATTGAAGCTTTATGGGGCGAATATTAGTTGAACGCTCATGGAGCGAAGCACATTTCGGAAGTTCCCACCGTGCTAATTCGACTTCAGTCACAGAGCTCGGTGTTCACACGATTCGAAGACTTGGTAATAACTTGACATTTCAAATACGGGCGTTTCCCAGGCGCATAGTAGCTGGATCCTATTGGGACAGCTGAGAGGTCGCAACATCCAGTTATTGATTAGTTTTTGGTCACATTTTGAACCGCAGCAACTGTCATCTAGTTTGATGTGCATCAGTGTGTGTATTTGACCCAGGCTTGGTTAGCCTAAATTGATAAGTGGGGATGTTGCTTAGGTTATATCCTTGCGACTTGCGTGCTTGTGTTTGTATGACTTTGTATGTATGACTTTGTATGAAATCGTGCTTCAGTCGACTTGGGCTCAGATTAAAGGAACTTCATCGTCTACCACACCTAGAGAAATCGTCGGCGAATGCAACTGCGGCAGCTATAAATACTGTGTGACAAGCAAGCAGCTGAAGATTTTGGTGACGTAGAGCATACCGTTGTACGGGCTGGGTTATCACTGTCCACTTCAACAACATTACGTGTACCGATGCGGAACAGCCGAGTTCACCAACTTTGGCGAATTTCAGTAGCCAAGCTGGCCTGTCTAGAAGCGTTCTGCAAAGGCACAATCATGCGGTTGAAGATCATTGGTTTCAGGTTGAACGGAATCAAGGTGCAGAGGTTATGCTCTCAAAATTTACTATTGTCTTGTAGAGGTCACTCACCACTAGATCACGCATCACAAACATTCAGACCACGTGACAATTCTGGTCCCACTTGCAACCTTAGCCGACTATGTGTACACTACATATTCTCATCCATTTTTGTTTACACGGCTACCACTTGCGTCACGCGTCAGACTTATGAACTTCAACACATCACGTCAGGTTGTATTCATATTCGTGCAAGCATCAGACACGAAGGGACACTCCTCTCTTCACGCTGCATAGAAATTTTTGAAAGTGAACACAAAAAGATTATCTTACCGTGTGATTTGATGCGTCTGTTAGCCAGCTTCTCTGTCGATGCGGTCGAAACAAGACTGTCCAGACAACTTCGATACCATTCTTCTGCAACAGACTTTGAGTCGATCGGTTGTGGAAATAATGCGTTTGAGTTGAAAACCAAGAGACTTAGGCTAGAAAATTCGTCCAACTTTGTCGACACTGAGTTCGAAGGGTACCGGTGTGCGTACCAGGCGTGGCACGGACTCTTGGCACAGGAAGTGATTGGGTACTGCTGACCCGTCAGACGATCAAAAGGAGCTGCTGTTTCCTC